AAGGAAACAGGCATCGTTTCTTTTGGGGTTAGCGTTCAGGGTTCAGGGCTTCGGGGCTTCGAGTTTACTGTAGGATTCGGGGATTAGTAAAGCCCTAAACCCTAAACCCTAAAGCCTCCTAGCAGCTGAGCAGCTCTGAGGAAGCATTTCTGCTGCCACACCGAAGGAAAAGCTTGCAGGATGCCTCAGAGTGCCTACCCAGAGAACCCAATACCCCTTAATTAAGGAATAGACCTTAGATCATAATATTAAGGCCCCTGTAATTTAAGGTATATTCCTTAATTAAGGTGTATTGTGTTCTCTGGGTACTGCGAGGGCTGTCATCGTTGGCCAGAGAGTAGGATCTGCTTTGGTGGCAGCGCCCAGAGCCTGCCTGAACCCTTCGGAGAACCCATCAAGCCGCTATGAAACCCAACAAAACCCTTCTATAAAAACCCTTCCATAACCACTATAGAAGCCAAATAGAACTCCGAAAAGAATTTTGATAGAACCCTAACCCTAAACCCTAAACCTGCCGAGAACCCTCATAAACACCCATCCAGCCATGACAAGACAAAGGCTACGACTGTGCAGCTGGCTTCGCCAATTGGGAGAGGCTTAGAGCTTCCGAAAATTAGGGGTTTTCTGTGTAAATGTGTGTGGGTTTAAGGGTTTGAAGCATTGTTGTTGTTTTTGAGGGCTGTTAGACTCAAGTTTGGTGGTGTTGGCGGTGTTTTGGGCTTTAGGGGTTTTTAGGGTTTGGCTGTTGGGGATTGTTGGTGGTGGTTGGCGGTTTAGGGTTTGCGACTTCTGGGGGTGTGAAAGAAGTTCCTCCAGCTTCCATTCGTCATCGTCACCTGAGTCGCAGCGGTAATCGGGGTCCTGATGGTGATGGCGATGGTGGTTGAGGTAGCAATGCTGCCAGCCGTAACCGAAATAGTTAGAAATATCATTCCATGATAGTCATTGTTGATATATCCCAAAGCCATCTTCATATATTCAGGCACCGGTATTGCTAGCTTCAGTCAACATTGGTGGCCGGAGTAGCAATACCAGTTGAAACCATCTGAAGCCCCTAAGCCCGAAGCCCCCACACCCCTGCAGTAGCCGTCTAGCTGTGATGTTGCAGGGGCTGGTCTGCTGCCAAGAAGGCCTACTGCTGCGACAAAGAGCATAAGGCCCTCTCCATGAGTGCATTCAGGCCTTGGGTTTAGGGGTTTAGGTTTCTTTGTGCTATAAGTAATAGCGTTCCTTTTGTTGCACTATAAGGGATGGGGCTTTAGGGTTTAGAGATGACGTCGAGTCCGTTGCAGTGAGAAATGAACGGACAAAAGGCAGCTTTAGGGTTCAGTGGTTTTGCGTTTAGGCGTGTAGGGATTTAGGGTTTAAGAGTTTAAGGTTTAGGGCTTCGGTTGATAAGGCATCGACGTAGTGGAGGGTATAGATTTCGGGTTCGGGACTGGGTGGCGACCTTCGACCCGGTGGAGCACATCCAACCCTGCCATAATAAAAGGAAGAGCTCGGCTCAGCTTTTGGTTGGCTCAATAGGACTTCACAAATTGCTTGGGTATCCTAGGCTAAACGCTTTAACTTCTAGAAGGGTTCAGAAGTCAACCAAGAGAAAGACACCCTTCTTAAACAGTGAACCCTAAACCCTAAACCCTGGAAGTGCTTCTTGTTGTTTGGGGTTGGGGGAACTCAGTCCCCCAGGTGCGAGTTGATGCAGTCGAGGTCCCGAGCTGTGGGTTTAAGGTTTTGGGGTTTATAGGGTTACTTGTAGGGTCGATAAGCTTTGAAGCGTCTAGAGAACTCAAAGGGCTCTCGGATTTTAGGGTTTCGTTTTTCGTAGAGAATCCGAGTCCTCCGGAGTGACACAGCAAGTCTTTCGTGACCTTCGTGGTTTTGAAGTACCCAAACCCCAAGCCCTGAACCCTAAACCCGAATGCTTGAGCCCAGCGCTGATCAGGCCTGCAGCAGCCACAGCTGCTTGGAAGTTGACGCGATGTCCGAATGGTCCGATGAGAAGCGGCAGCGCCCTCCCCGGGTCTTAGGGTTTAGGGTTTCAGCTTTCGGGTTCAGGGTTTCGGGTAGGCTTTCGGGTTTCGGGATTCCACCATCTTCCTTCAGCCCACCTTTTGAACCAATGGACCGTTTCCTCAGGGCGGGGGGCGGCGCACTTCTGGGTTTCGAAATCTCCTTGAACCCTGGGTAAGCCAAACGGCACCCCTCCAGCCTAGACCCTAGGCCTTAGGCCCCTGAACCCTGACACCCCCAAACCCTAAGCACCTAAACCCCTAAGCCCTAAACCACCCAAACCCTAAACGCCTAAACCCCTAAGCCATAAACCGCCCAAACCCTAAACACCTAAAGCCTAAGCCCGAAGCCCAAATAGAAGTTCGTGGTGTGAAGGTACTGCTGCAGCAACCACAACGTCGCTTGTCACGACTGCAACGGCGACGCGGGGTGACCAAGTCGAGTGATGAAGGCTTGTGGCTGACAGCTTGAGGGTTTAGGGCTTAGGGTTTAGGGTTTAGGGTTGAGGGCTTAGGGTTTAGAGTTTCGGGGTTTTAAGGTTTTCAGGTTTAGGGTTTCGGGGTGGAAGGTTGTTTACCCGCGAACCATTCCTGCAGGTTTGGAGTTTAGAGGTCTCTAAAATATTCAGGGCTTGTGGCTGACATGGTGTACCGTACTAGAGAATCACTCATGTAATTCGGATCTCTCTATATTTCGTTTCAGTATCCCCTTCAATCAAGTCGCAAAAGTATCCCGCTTTTCAACTAAACTGTATCATAACATTATCGCTCCCTAAGCCCTAAACCCGAAACACTTCAAGGCCCCTCCATAGATTAGCCTTGAGGGTCTCGGCTGGAAGGTGGAGGGTTTATGAGGTTTAGGGTTTAGGGGTTGAGGTAGCTGTAAGAGCTCCTCCTTTCCGCCGGGGTCTTTTGAACCAGGAGCTTTAGGCGTTTAGTTTTCGGCTTAAGGGTTTCAGGTTTAGTTAGGGCTTAGGGTTTAGGGTTGTCGTGTTTTAAAGCTTCGGGTTTAGGGTTGAGGTAAACCACACACATCCAGAGATTTTACTGGGATTTCTTGCGGAATTCCGGTTACTCAAGGTTTCTAGCCGCGTGTTTGTCAACTCTTGCATACGCCATCTCGTGGTTTTTGTCAAGAGGTTCGTTTGTTTTTCGAAGTTTCTGCGTCCAGTGTTTTCTTTTGCCAGTTGTAGCTTGAAGCAGCCTTTTTACAAAGCCTCCTTAAAGTACATGTCCCATGGGTTGCAGTTCGAACTAAAGGCCGGATGCCCGGCATCCAAATTACGAACCCCTCGCTGAGTTCAGTTCAGGCTCTAGGTTGGTTTATGTAGAGTCCGAACATGACCTAGAACTGTAACCGGAGTATATGCCGAAATCCTAGTCTAATGACGAGGGCTTTTGTGTCAGGGCGTTTAGGTTTAGGGCGATGACTCTTACAGCCGGCCCTTTCCTTTGAACCCTGAAATGTAGGCCCCGAGCTCTGAAGACTTGAAGCTTAAGCTCTGATCCCTAAGCGTTATAAACCCTCAACCCTAAACCCTACATCCTAAACCCTAAACCAAAAGCACCCAAAGGACGAAGAGCCTGCATTGCGCAGCAAGATAGATCGGTTTCGGGTTTTGGCCTGAGTAGGTGTGGGAATAATTGCTACTGGCTGTACAAATTATTACCTAGGGTTCCTAACAAAAGAATAGTATGAGATAGCGCAAGTGTTTGGCTTGAACGTTTCGGGTTGCAGAGTGCATCGGATCCCCGCTCCGGTCATGGCTCTGATTTTTTAATGCCAGTGCCGGTGGTATCCGCACCCTGCCCGATGTCCGCGCGCAGAACATGTAGGCGCAGTTGTCATTCATCCTTAAACCGGTATGTCCTTTGGGGTGCAGGTCACCCCCAAGCCGTAAACTGCTGGACCCGAAGCGCTAAGCCCAATATCGCCGAGGTGCAGGCTTTCGATGCAGCCAAAGAGGACGGCGTGTCGGGGGGGTTTACAGCAGTTGCGATTCCGCCCGGCAAGACACCCAACAGTGTCCCCCTATAGGGATTTGGATTCAGGTTGAACCCGAAACTAAACCGGAAAAACCAACCCTAAAGGCTTAGCAGCAATCCTAAGTGGAACTGAAGCCTCAACCCAAACCCGGTAACCCCTAGACCCTAGCCCCCAACCCCCCAGACCTAAAGCCAGCTCGAGGCGTGGTGCTGTGAGAACGAGGGCCGTTGCCTCAAGCCGGGAACCCGAGCGTCATCGAGTTTTCAAATTCTTCGCCCTGAACCCTAAACCCTAAACCCTGAACCCTAAACCCTAAACCCTGAACCCTAAACCCTAAAACCTGAACACGCAAAGGTGTTGGGGTTCAGGATGCAAAGCAGCTTGGGATTTCGTGCTGAGGGCTTCGAAGCTTTGCTTTATGCGCATCACTTACTGCTAGTGCTGCTAGCAGCCCCGTGCCTTGGTACGTCTGTTCGTAGCCTAACATGGCCAATGCAGTGCAGAGCCGAATTGCAACGGTTCGGGATCCTAGGTTCAGGATGCAGGGATTGTAGCGGCTCGGGAGCGGACGCGGGTTCAAGCTGTAGAGTTCAGGTCTAGCTGCGATCGTTTCAGGGTCTAGGGTTAAGGGCTGGAGTTTAGGGTTTTGTGTTGTGGGTTAGGGCGTAGGGCGTAGGGTTTAGGTTTAAGGGTTTACGGTGTGGGACCCAAGTGTGAAATGGAATCCGGGATTCGGGTCTAATTACTCCAAGCCCGACGACCCGAAAGAATTCCACCCGTACCACAAGGATCCGTAAAAGCCAGGGGCCTGCGCCCTAAGCCGCGGTGTGAAGAAGTTCCCGCATCTGGATCCGACAAAATGTGAGCGGCTGCAAACGAGTAGATCCTAAGCATTTCCTAAGTGGCCCTCACCCCCAAAGCCAAAGCTTAAACCCTAAAGGCCTAAATCCTGCACCATAAAGCCCGAAAGCCCTAGCACTGAAATCACGGGGCGCCAGTAGCACGACGACGACGGCCTCGCCGTGCCCGGATGCTGGATTCAATGAGCGTCGAGCTCGGCAAGTGTTGCTTGGGGTTGTTCCATCTGAATACTTCGTAGCAACTCCCTTGCTGCTCCGACTGCCCCTATGATTGGACCATAAAGCTGCCCCCAAACCCTCTTCTATGTTGTGCCCTCGCGGCGAAGGGCCCCCCCCCTTTGCATGCACTTAAGGGTTCTTCAAGCGGTCATCGGCGCTTTTGACAGTTTAGGAGAGTAGAGGGTTCAGGGCCATTCGGTGAGTTTAGAAGCGCACCAGAACCCAACCCCTCAAGCCCGACACCCTAGACCTCAACTTAGAGAAGAAGACCTCTTGCGAAGTGCCCGCTGCATGCCCAGGGACGATCCAGACTATTGCGTGCGGATCTTAGCATGCGAGTCGGGAAAAGCCTTGGGTTCAGGTCCATTCCGAGCCCTAAGGCTTCCTGAAGTTCGGGGGGTGCCTTAAGAAAAAGGTGTCCCAGAAAGAGACGGATCGCGCTGTTTGGGATGCATTTCAGGGTTCAGGGGTCCTCGAGCTTGGGGTTTAGGTGGACTTCTCCTCCTGATGATCTTGTTCCGGCAGCCGCACTCTGCAAAGGAGGATCCAGCCGGAAGTATTGAGGTTTAAGTCAAAGAGTTTCGGGGTCTTGGTTGTTCGAGTCTTGTGTTTTTTGGGGTGGATCTCTTGCGAAACCTTCAGCCACAAGCCTTGGACTTGCAAGATCACAGCGGAGTTGATCTGGTGGAAGGAACACCCCTAAACCCCTAAACCCTTAAACCCTTAAAACCCTCAAGCCCTAAACCCCTAAACCCCTAAACCCCCAATCACTAAAGCCTAAACTGCCCTAAACCCATGAACTGTCTGAAGCCCGAGATCCCCTGTGTAGTCTGACCGAGCCCGAGGCGACCCCGAACGCGGACCTTCTGGGTTTTAAGGGTATAGGGGTTAGGGTTTAGGGTCGAAGGTTTCGGGATTCGTTTTTTTTTGAAAAGGGGCAAGGGCGAGAGGATCGTTAGGGCGGAGGGTTGGGTTGGGTTTTGGCTGGGTTTGGGGTTAGGGCCCGAGGCAGTTCATCTTTGCAGATTTCCTGAACTAAGCAGCTAAATCCTCGCATCCGGTCTCATGCTCAGAACACGCCGATCGGCACTTGGACAGTGGAGAAGAAAGCCGGGACCTCGGTCGGCTTTGAGGGTGATGCAACGGTTTAGGGTTTAGGGTTTTTTGGGGGTTTGGCTTCTAGAATTTGCGGATTTTTTGTGCGTAGAGTTCGCAACTGGGCTTCCTAAACCCTAAATCCTAAACCCTGAACTCGGAGTTCACAGTTTCTGCGGATACTGTTCATCAGTGGCTAGCTACACTTTGAGACTGGGCCCCATGACTTCAGAAACCTGGTGCTATATGGCTGGAGAGATTTCAAGAACATTCCCAAAGGTGTTTTTTGTCTCCCCCGAATCCTATTCTGATTCCTTCTTGATGTTTAGGGTTTAGGCTTCAGAACACAAACCTAAACCCTAAACCCAAAGCCTTGCGGCTTCGGCGTCAGCATTCAGGGTTCAGGGGTTAAGGGGTTCAGGCTTGAAGGGTTGAGCCCAAGGCGATGATGAGCAGAGGATAAATCTGCTAGTAACAACAGAAGCAGCAATAAGAGTCATGTTACAAATGTTACGAATAGCAATAATCATCACACTAGTACTCATACTAGTACCAATACTACTACTATACTACTAAAAATACGAATACAGAAAATAGAAGTAACGACAGTAACGCAACAAGAAATAGCAATAGTCAAAGGCACAGCTTCAGCATTTAGGAAAGCAGAGTGCAGCACGCGTCCGTAGTTTCAATCCCTTCACCCGAAACACTCACCTACCCTGCCTTCACCCACGATTGGGGTTCAGGGTTTGGTTTAGCACCTAAGTACTGCATTAGATGGGACAGAGGTGAAGGTGATGATGAGGGGCTACGTGGTTTTGAAGTGGAGTCTTTGATTCTGGGTGAGGACGCCTCGTCGCCGGACGTCTTTGGTCGTCGTGACCGAAGTCGCAGTCGTGACTCGTGAAGGAAGTTTGTGAACGTTTTTTGTTGGGAGCTTTTCCCGAGTGCAAGGTGATCCTAAACCCTACACCCTAAAACCCCAAAGGCCCTGACCTGACGTCCTTAAGCCCCCACCATCTGAAAGACCCGGCCCGACACCCCTCAGCCCCAAAGCACAAAGAGGCGCTTTCTTCAAATCCCTTAACCTTAGACTCAAGCTCATATTAAGCCACAAGTCGTCCATCGTCGCAGCAGCCCCATACCATATAATGATACCGTAAATCCTTCACCTCCTGAACCCGCGGTAAAATCCTTCACCTCCTGAACCCCGACGCCCCAAATCCTAAAGATGCTAGCCGTACTTAGCTGCTACACTTTCGAGGCCTTTTGCTGCCAGCACTTCCACCGTGGCTGTCCCGGGGTCACCTACGGCTGTGCGGAAGCTTAGACGGGACTCCTCCGCTCATCCTTGGGGTCTGAAGGGATTCAGGTTTGGACGTTTAGTTTTTGGGTTTTGGGGCTAAATGGGTGTAGGGTTTCGGGTCTTTGGTTTAGGGGTGTAGGAGCCTAGGAGTGTAGAGTTCAGAATTAGGGGTTTAGGGTTCAGGGGTGTAGATTTTGTAAGGATGTCGGTGCGTAGGAGCTTGGACAGGCAAGACAGTATCGTTGTTGTTGTTCCATTAGGAAAACTGTGTCTGCAATGCTGCTATTTCGAATATGCTGTTTAGTCGATAGCAAGACAGTCTCAGATGCACTTGTTGGACAGACCTAAAGCCCTAAACCCTATACTGAACTAGATCTGTGGGCATGTGATAGAGGAAGCCGTCCTCAGGTCAGCGGTTTGAGGGACCCTAAACCCTAAACCCCAAACCCTAAACCCTAAACCCCTAAACTTCTAAATCCGACACCCTAAACCCTAAGCCCTAAACCCAAAAGGGATCTAGGATTGAGTTTTTGTTGAGGCCTTGCTGGTGTTCTCGGGTGTCGTCACACTGCATTAAGCTTTTGGGTTTGCGCCCTGGGCTCCTTATGACTATGTAAATATACTTTGCTTTGCCGATTCCATGCATAGGCCGCCTCAGTAAGTTGGCCCAGGTGATGTCGACTCCCACATTTGGCAGTATGCCTGGTCCTTGACGAAGAAGGACTGGCGTCGTCTGTATTGATCAGCTGTTTCGAAGGGCATCTCTGTCTTCCGCACTCGTGAGGCTTGCTGCAGCTGCTAACCACTAGAGTGAACACGGGCATGAGAGGACTGCCCCGGTTCCTTTTACAACCACCCAAACGGGACACCTTATTCATGCGCAGCAGGGACACCTTTGGCTTTAGGAAGCCCCGTCATAGGCATAGTCGGATGTCCGACCCAACGAGAACACTCGCTGGAGGTCTTCCCCAGTATCAGAAACTTTTGGTTCCGGCATACCTGTCGTGTCGCATTATTTGTTGGGTACTTTTTGTTCTTCTGTTCCACGTACCCCGCCTACACCTTGTTCAGTTCTCCTTGAACACTAGACTCACTAGACTCCAAGCCCTTCCCCGACTAATTGCCAGGCCTGGTGCTGTGTGCATCATCATGTCGGATGCTACCCTCACTACGATTGCGACACTGCCGGGAGCTCAGGTTCTGATCACCTGACCTCCAAACGCTATTCCCTGGACCCTGAACCGAAAGACTTGACATTGGTTGTGCCACCCCGTAAACGTCTGGAACGCGTTCCTTATCAGCTAAATCCGCGCAGTCTGGTGCTGGCTTATCCGTTGAAAGGGAAGGCACTCCGTCAAATACCCTTAAGCCCCTCGCATTCTGCACTGGAAGCTTCCACTCGAAATCTCCAAAACCGCCTAGATGAGGCGATGCGACTTAATCTAGAGTCTCTGGGGACACGTCTCAACAGATTTTCGAGGTTTGCTGGTGTGCGTTCATACAGGCGACTTGTTGTGAGGCTTGGAAAGCAGAGAATGCAGAAGCCTCAACGTTTCTGAATAGAAAGCTTGCCCAATGTTCTTTCTTCAGTTTAAGTGTAAGGGCCTCTCTGAGACATTTTCTATCTGGGGGGGGTCCGATGTGGACATACGTGGCCCTCAAGCTCTATGCTTGCTGCCCCGAGAAACCTCAAACCCTAAGCCCCAGACCCGAAGCCCCCTCCATCCCGAGCCTCAAAAAAAGCACCCCAACGCACCCTAACGCCTTCTCGGACCTCTTTCGGGTTTCGGGTTTAGGGTTTAGGGGACCTTCAAAGGCAAAGAGCTTAGGAGCCCCTGTATAGCACGGCCTCCGCAAGGCATCGAGTCCTTAAGCAACCCTTTGAAGAGCCCTTTCAGAGCCTAGAGCCCGGATCGAAGCCTTGTTCTAAGGAGCTTTTGTAGAACCCGCAGCCCTCGACCCTAAAAGCACTAACTCCTGCACCCTTAACCCTAAAAAGCTACGCCTTCAACCCTGAATCCCTAAGCCCTAAACCCTACACCATTAGGACTAAACCCCGACAGCCTAAACTCTGCGTCCCAGGCCGTGACTTCGTGGTCACCCGAGAAGAAGGTCTGGTGCTGCCCGGCCCCTCAGGAGCCAGGGTTTAGGTTCTGGGTTTAGTGTTGAAGCCGTAGGGTTGAGTGTAGGGTTTAGGTCTGTTGTGATTTTGCTGAAGATCTCCCTCGGGAGCTGAGGCTCCTGAGCCCAAACGGTGCCGGGCTACACGCCCCAAAACCTGGCTTGTGGGTTCAGGGGTTGGGCTCCGGCTCAGCAATGGGGGTTGTGTCAGCACTTCGGAACTATCTAACCACCAGATGGTTGAGAAGGCAGAAAACTTCCATTGCGCAAAAACCTTTATGGTTCAGGTCTAAGGGACTACTGCATGCAGGATTGTGGGTGCAGCTGCCGTGTGCAGCATCGACGTGCTCTTCCGGTTGTTTCGGCCGCGAGCCATGAGCAAGGAGGCAAAACGTCCTCTCGACATCCACGAACCCGAGGGTTGGAGTCAAGGGTATCCTAAGCCCTAAACCGCGGTAGGCCCTCTTGGATCTCGCACACTTTGAAGCTCCCTGGCCTGCAACCCTAACACTAAAAACCGAACGCCCTAAACCCAACGATTAAATGTAGGGGTTACATGGACAAAGAAGATCCTAAATCAGAAGAGCCTCTCAGCAAACCTTGCGTGATTTTTCACAAGGCCTCAACCCAAGCCAGCAAAAACAACCCTACACCCTGCCAAACACTCTGAAGCTCTTACAGAACCCTATTCGACCGTGCAGAACCCACTAGAAGATGCCTGTGAACTCTACACCATCGGAGCCTCCAATCAACCAAAGCTGATGGCTTACGGTAAAACCCTAAAGCTCGTCTAAATCCCTTAACCCCTAAGACCCATATGGAATACTGTGGCAGATTGCCTTCGACCTTCCAGACGGGATCAGTGCGGCAAGCGTTCATCTGCGAAGCTGATTACCCTTCTCTGGCCCTGAGCAGGCCATCGCCTGGTAAACAAGCTTCTGTTTTCTTGCGCGTGTTTAAAGACGTATGTAAACGGCTTGGACATGAAATTAAGATCGAGCGATGTCAGACTTTACAACTTTTTGCGTGGACAGTGCCAGTGGCTTCAACATGAGCTAATTCTGTGGATTCTTAATGGTGCGGAGTACCCTGCCATGACTCGGGCTTTGAGATGTCCACCTGTGCAGCCTCCGCATTACCCTGTCCCATTGCAAGCGTGCAAGCGGCGCAATGATCGAATTTGTAATTAACAGCGCCTCTTAGCGTGCTTCTCGCTTGGATGGTCCGCAGACGTCTTGCACAAGCCGTTAAAGCCCAAAACCCTAAACTTAAACCCCTAAGCCCAAGGTCACCATGAGAAGAAGGGGTGCGAGCTCTACGACTGCTACGGGGTACGGCCTCGGAGTGCCACGAGTGGGGTGTAGGTGTAGGGTTTAGGATGTAGGGTCTAGGGAGTCTTAGGGTGGTTTTAGGGAGTTTTGGCTTCAGGGTTGAGACATCAAGCTTTGGGGGCTTTTGCATCGAGCTCAATGTGGAGATTCAGAGTTTTTGTGTTTGTGGGCTTTCGGGGTTTAGGGTTTAGGGCTTCGTGTTTGGGGTTCAGGGTTCAGTGAACCTCGCAGCTCCACCTAAAGTTTCCCAGAACTGCCATGCCAGGGTATCTTTATATCACCGTTCCTACATTACAATGTCTTTTCCTAAACCACGGTATTTAAGACACAAAGCGTTATGGTGTGAAATCACACAGGCCCGTTTTTGCCCGATTTCTGATTTTTCGAGGGAAGCTTCCATAGCGTTTGACCATCGGTGATGGTCTGAGTTTCGGGTGTGTATCATAAAGGACCACCCCGTCCCGCATCAACCCTAACTCACTGGATCACTTTTACTCGTGGAACGAGCCTGCGGAAAATTCCATCAAGTAGCCTTAGGCATGTGTTCATATGATTCATATATGCAATTCTATGCAACGATTCAACGACGATATCGATGAAAGCATGCCCCGCGATCAAAAGATGTGTACTGCAACCTTGGAATCAAAATCCTCATCCTCTGATTATCCGAAGACCTAGACGACTCGTCTTCAATTCCCTCAGACTACACCCGGAAGCCTGCATCCCAAACCATTCGCGCGCAGCCTCCGCACCTGTGGTCCGAGCCGCACAAGGACTGGTGTTGCAGGCGGGAAAGCATCTGGCTGGGCTTGTGCTGACAAAGCATTCGTTTTTTTTTTGATTTTGGGTTTGGGTTTAATTTAGGCGGTTTAGTTTGGGTTTATGCTTGCCGATTTCGGGGTCCAGGGCCCAGGGTTCAGGACATGAATCAAGGTGGGCTGCAACTCGGCTAGATTTCGAGTCCAAAGTCTCTACACCCCCGAACACCCACCCTAAATGTTTAAACACCGCACCAGTCACCGGAAAAGCCCTGTTGAATGAAAACCCTACACTTTTGCTCGTCCCCTTTATGGCACGGTCAATAAGCCAGATCGTTCCCCAAAGACCTTTATCCAAGAAAGCCCCGGCAAAACCCGAGAAGCAAGATCACCCCCCTCAAACAAATGTATGAAGGCCCCGATATGAGCTCCGAAGACCCTCAGAACCCTGTAAAGCCTTCAAGATGCCCGCGGAACCTCTGCATAGAGCCTCTATCGGAACCTTGTAGATATGGGCCCCTTTACAGAATCTTGATAGAACGTTAAGAGCACCCTTCCTGGATTCACTTCTTGCACCGCAGAATTCAACCTGAACCCTAAGCCCTGGCAAAAAAGCGCCTAAACCCGCCTATTTTAAACCCTAAAAGCCCTAAGCCCTAAACTAGTCTTAAAGGAAAACACGAAGACCCTAAACCCGAAACCCTCAGCCCGAGATTCTGCCAGGAACCATGGTCAGGGCTGCTCGCCTCGGCACTCAGCCGACAGCGTGTTGCACAGTTGCTGTCTTTTTCTGGAGTTCTAAATGGGTCACATAAGGGTTCTATCAGGTTTCTATAGGGGTCGCCGGATTCGGTATGGGTTCTGTACGGGTTCTACCAGGATTCCTGACAGGTTCTATAGAAAGTTGCTGTAGAGATTCTACACGGATTTCGTCAGAATTCTGCAGGGGTTCGTCCTATGAGGGATCCTAGAACTGTCTTTTTCGGGGTGTAGAAGCGTTCTAAGGGTTATCGATGTCAGGGATGCTCAGGGTTTAGGTTTAGGGGTTAGGGCTCTAGATTGGTTCCGGTATGGTTTCGGAAGTGTTTTGTAGCCTGATGATGTAATTTTGAGAGCGAGTTAATTTTAATACAAGGGGAGGGGGGTGTTAATAATCGCGGGACGAGATTATAAGGTTACTATCAGCTTCTGTAGTGGGGGTTTTCCACACGAGGTTTTTCAGGCTGCATGTTGGGATTGCCTATCTCGATTCGGAGTATTTTCGTGGTTCCATCGTCTCATTCTCGTGTGATGGGGTGTCGAGTTCAGATGCTTTCTGCACAGGTCAGTTCTTTTGGTGTTTAGGTTCAGGGTTTATTGTTTGAGGCTCTACCCTAAGCCCGAAACCCACAGCTTCACTCCGCACGAAGCCCTAAACCACAGCGAAAGCTTGCCCACAAGCCACATCCAATATTCCCTGCAACCTCGAGCCAAAAACTTCACTTCACCTCAAGGCCTAAACCTGGATTCCACACCGTACAAGTAGAAGCCCAAGCCGCGCTTGCCGAGGGAAGAAGAGCCGTCCGACACCCAGCTTTCATAATGCTGGTACTGGTATTAGTCTTGTGACGGCACTTGCGACTCCTACCATGCCACTAGCGCCATGGCGGCAACAACAGCAGCAGCAGCCGCCACCGCCAACAACAACAGCCACTGCCGCTCTTCCTTGTACTGCTGCTGCTCCTCCTGCTCTACCGCTACGTCTGCTGCTGCCATTCCTCCTCCTCTTCCTCATCCTCATGCTCATCCTCATGCTCATCCCTCATGCTCATCCTCATCATCATCATCATCCTCCTCCTCATCATCATCATCAGCAGCATCATCATCGGCATCATCATCATCATCATCACCATCATCATCATCATGTTCTTCTTCACCATAATCATCATCATCATCATCCTCATCATCCTCATCGTCGTCGTCATCATCAGCATCATCTGCGTCACCAGCATCAGCATCACTAGCATCATCGTCGTCGTCATCATCCCTTTTCAACCTGCAGCACGCAGTCGTTGCATGGCGATCCAGCGTTTTGTGGACTGAGTCCGGTGGGGCCTGGCTGAACCCCCGAATGGTTTTGGGCGTTTTAGATCTCTTGGATCTCTTGTTGCTTGTGCAGCTCCCTAGGTTCCACTGCCATGGTGGTGCTGGCCAAAACATCTATTGGCCCGGCTCTCGATCGTCGGGCGAGCGTGCGGACATGGATAACAGTGTTCATGCTACTGCTGCCTTTGCGTCGCCTCCTCCTATTGCTACTTCCGCTGCCACTGCCGCTGCCGCTGCCGCTGCTGCTGCTGCTACTGCTACTGCTCCTGCTACTACTGCTGCTGCTGCTGCTGCTGCTGCTACTCCTCCTCCTACAACGACAACAACTACTACTGCTACTGCTACTGCTACTGCTACTGCTACTGCTACTGCTACTGCTACTGCTGCTGC